TATGGGGAGAATGTGCATGCTCCATATAAACAGTTGCCCAAGGGTGGAATCAAACCCAGGTCCCTAGCACTGTGAGGCAATAGTGCTAACCACTGAGCCAAGATGCCATCCTCAAAATGAGAACATTGACCTGACATGAATGAAAGCGACATGATTAAGATTTAAGGATAGCTTCTTAGATATCAAAAGAATGAGATTCTGTCATCATTGACTAATTATAACCACAAGGTTCTTTTAAGAAATGGTTCTGAAATATTGCCTGAAGCTATGTTGAGTAATTCCCTTTGACACTGTGGTCAGGAAGAGGAAATTCATACCAGTGTAACAATGCAAAAAGAGTTGCATCAGTTGTTTCAAAATCATTGGAGAGATATCACAAAGAATGCAAAGATGTCATGCAGCAGAATGCAGACCGATTGTTGAAAACTGCTGCTTATTTCCTAAGGTTCAGGTTAGCAACTCGATTACTGCCTCGTTTACTCTACCGCCCTCTTGTCACAATAAGCAATAGTGCTACGAAGTGAAAGCAATCTAGCAAAGGCAACAACGAGCCAAATTCCTGAGATATTATTCATATGAACACATTGTCCTCTTCATTCCTTCCTCCAATCTCATTCCTAGTCTTCATGTTTTATGTCCATATATTAATCTATGACGAGACACTTTTCAATATTTAGAAAGGGCCATTATTCAGACTTGTAATAAATTCTAACCAAGATAGTTGTCTGCAACTTTTTGCCTTTAATCTGCAAGAAAGAAACAGATGAATTAAGAGACAGCTATCAATGAACCATCTTTAAATCATCTCCAGTTTCACAAGCGCTTTAAATGTATAAGTCTTACTCAATGGCTTTATAACTCTAATAACTCAGGAAGCTCGACTAGAAAGGATCACTTATTGTGGAACACCAAAATAGAACCTGTACTCATGACATACATTGGCTAGTTGCAGCCTGCTTTTTTTTTAATTAAACTGTTTAGCAATCTTATTACACACCTCTGGAGCAGGTGGGACTTGACACCAGGCACCCGAGTTCAGAGATATGGGCACTATCACTGTACCATAGGACCCCTCTGTGTCTGCTTTTTTTAACTTCTTTCTAATATCCGGATGCCTTATTACATGCAACTGAACAGGTTTCCCATCACCAAATCACTGTGACTTTTTTTTGTATTCATCCATGCAGCCAATTAGAAATTTACATGCAAAGCCCATTATGGGCAATGCAAACTATCAAAAGTGAGGTGGGGCTTGGAGTGGGTAAGGAGAACAGGAAGGACTGGGCCTGCTTTGAATTGGGCTCAGGTGATGAGTTTCAGCCAGGCAGGCCATTGCCTGTTACTAAGGGAACTCATACTCAATGAGATTTTGGATGTGGTGGCACTGGAGGCAGTTCAGAGGAGGTTCACCAGGTTGATTCCAGGGATGGAAGGCCTATCGTACGAGGAGCAGTCGAATAGCTTGGACTTACACTCGCTGGAGTTCAGAAGAATGAGGGGGGAATCTGATTGAGGTATATAAAATGCTAAAGGGAATTGACAGGGTGGACGTTGAGCAGATATTCCCCTTGTGGGATAGTCTTGAAGAAGAGTTCACAGATATAGAGTGACAGGAGGTAGGTCCAAAACTGAGATAAGGAAAACTACTTCTCTCAGAGGGTTGTGAATCTCTGGGACTCACTGCCTCAGAGTGCAGTGGAGGCAGAATCAATCAATAGATTCATGAAAGAAATAGATACGTTTCTGATGAAAAATTAGATAAAGGGCTATAGGGAGCAGGCAGGATAGTGGAGTTGAGACCAGGATGAGATAAGCCATGATCATGTTAAGTGGCAGTTTCGGCTCGAACAGCTGAATTGCCTATTGCCACTCCTAATTCCTATGTTCCTATAAGATCCATGAAGAGGTTAATTAGTGATTCCTCATTGGCCTTAAAGGGGTTATCACAATTCATGTAAAGGTAAACTCACCATAGTTCTGTCAGATCATACAGCTGCTCTCTCAGCCAACTGAGCTAACTGATCCCCAACAGAGATAGTAAGAACTGCCAATGCTGGAGTCAGAGATAACACAGTGTGGAGCTGGAGGAACACAGCAGGCCAGGCAGCATCAGAGGAGTAGGAAAGTTGATCCCCAACATTGTACATACACAGTAACATGGACAGTTTAGCCATTTGAGTTAATAATGCAGTTATTTAGACTCTCAATTTAATGGGATCAGGACATCCAACACCATCTACCCACTTGTCTCCATAATCCCTCATATCCTTTGTCAGCAAAGATCTCTCAATTTCAACTTAAAAATTGTTAATTGTGCCAGCATCAAATGCATTTTTTTTGTGGGAGAGAGCCTCACACATTTCCCATCTTCTTGTGCGAAGATGTGATTTCTGATTTATCTCTCAACGGGTCTAGTTCTGATTTTAAGATCAAGAGCCCGTGTTCTAGATATCGTAACCAGTGGAAAAAGTTTATCTCCATCTAGCTTGTCAGTTTATTTCAAAGTCATAAATTAATCAGGAATTACAGCTTTAATCAGGACATTTTTTTTAAATCAATGAGATGAAACCTGCTTTATGTAATCTCTGTTCATAATCCAAACCACAGAGCCTTGGTAATAAATTAGTGAAACAGAAATCTGACCTGCAATTCTTCCAATTCAATACATCCTTTGAAAAGACAAATCCTACCCAACCAACAGTATCTCACCAGTCTACTCTCGATCATCAGTAAAGTGATGGAAGGTTTCATCAATAGTGCTATCAAGCAGGACCTACTCAATGGCACCCAGTTTGGGTTCCACCAGAGCCATTCAACTCCAGACCTCATTACGGCCTTCATTCAAACCTGGACAAAAAAAACTGAATTTCAGATGCAAGGTGACAGTGACTCCTTTGACATCGAGGCCACATTTGACGAAGGGAAGCATCGAGTAAAACTAGGATCAATGAGAATTGGAGGAAGACTATTCACTGCTTGGAGTCATACCTGGTAGAAAGGAAAACAGTTTTGGCAGTTGGAGGTCAGTCATCTCAACTCCAGGATATCTCTGCAGGAGTTCCTCAGGGTAGTGTCCTAGGCCCAACCATCTTCAGCTGCTTCATCAACAACCTTCCGTCCATCATAAGGTCAGAAGTGGGGAGGTTTGCTAATGATTGTACAACATTCCTCAGATACTGAAGCAGTCCATGTTCAAACTAAAATATATAGGATTCTTAAGGGACATGACAAGGTAAATTCTGAGACAATGTTTCCCTTCATCAGAGACTCTAGGATCAGACGGCATAGTCTCAGAATAAAGGGGTATCAATGTAAGACTGAGATGAGGAGGAATTTCTTCTCTCAGAGAGTTATGAGTCTTTGGAACTCCTTGCCAGAGAAAGCAGTTGGGGCAGAATCCTTGTGGATGCTGAAGGCTGGGATAGATAGATTCTTTACAAGTAGGGAATCAAGGGTTACAGGGAGAGGGCAAAAATGTGGATGTCAGGAATGTGGGATCAGCCATGATTTTATCAAATAGCAGAGCAGGTTTGAGGGACAAAACGGCCTAATCCTGATCCTCATTCTTACTTTCTGCCTCCCTTCTTGAATAAAGGGAATACATTTTTTCCAATGCACTGGAACTTTTTCTAGAATCCAGGGAATATTATAATCAATGATCTCTGCTGCCACTTCCTCCAAGACCCTATGATATAGGTCATCAGGCCCTGATGCCTTTAATCACAATTATTTACTCAGTACATTTTCCCTTGTGTTTCCTTCTGTGAGGGAGGGGTTTCAATTGTGGGTGATGTGAGGACCTTCAAAGGACAGCAACATAAAACAGATCCCCACCCACTGAAGCTGAAACACTCCTACAGGTACTACAGTACGCACTTTGTGTACCTTAGGCATTAATCTACTGTGTGCAGTCCAATACCTGGCCACAGCCCCCCTGACCATCTCATACAGAATCAGACAGCACTAATGCCTGTGACCCACATGTAGTGAATTAGAACCTGGACAGATTGACACTTGTGACCAAAGTAGCAATAACCTCCCAAGTTTCTGCATCTCGCAGAAGGTGCAGGATCTGCTCCCTTCACACATTGTGCCTTGAAACATCATGTCACTCTAAGGATGGCTAGACTCTGTCTTCAATGTTGTAGACAGCTAGAAAGGCATTCACTTATACTGCTTATGAGAAGTGAATGTATTTTTATAATTATAGGAAAGAATTTACATTGAGTCCTTACATGGTTTACTTTTTTCTTGCCCTCCCATGATGGCACAGGGCAGTCCCAGGTTCCCACAGCAAGGGTGAAAGGGGCCTGCCTGACAGTGGGGCCTGATGGTTTTGGAATTTTGGTCAGGCGGTGAAGAATGTCCTGAGAGAGATTTCTGGGGGGTCTGTATGAGTTTCCTCCTCCGTCTGGCTGCATCTTGGTATTGCCCTATCTCCTTGTGAGGAAGGGGGCACCTGGAGTGAGCTCAAGGTCCCTCATCCCCAGCTAGCTTTTGGTGCTGAGCACCAGCAGCTGGAATGATGGAGAACAGCTCTGGTTGATTACCCAGCAGACTCTGAGACTGCTTGGCCTGGCTGTCCATGACAGCTACCAACCTACCCACGGAGATGGCCAGCAGCTCGATTTTTTTTAATTCATTCACAGGATCAAGGCATCACTGGCTAGGCAGTATTTATTGCCCATCCCTAATTGCCCAGAGGGCAGTTAAGAGTCAACTACATTGCTGTGGGTCTGGAGTCGCATGTAGGCCAGACTAGGTAAGGATGGCAGTTTCCTTCCCTAAAGGGAATAGTGAACCAGATGGGTTTTTCCCCAACAGTTAACAATTGACAATGGATTCATGTCATCATAAGACTCTTAATTCCAGATATTTATTGAATTCAAATTCCACTGTCTTCCATGGCAGGATTTGAACTGAGGTCCCCAGAACATTATCTGGGTCTCTGGATTAACAATCCAGTGATAATACCACTAGGCCATCGCCTCCCCACTTGCCGTAGGTAGCACGGTCTCAATGTCATTACTTCAGTTTCTGCCTGTTGTTCCCGTGTTAACTTGTGCACTTGTATGAAATTACACATTGCCAACACCATCGGGTTCTGTCCTGCCAGGGGCTGAGTAGATGCTTGCCCTCGGGAGATTAAATGAGGTGGAATAGCAACTTGAGATGTCAAGTGTCGTGCCATTACCTGAAGGAATAGGCCTGATCGTCTGAAGGACATTTTCTCTTTCCATACATGCATTCTTACCAGTAAAATGATGTTCAACCAAACTGAGTTGACAGTTAAGAGAAAACAGGCAAATGGTCACTGTACTTACTGAACGTTGTGGGTGAGTCCAATTCACAGTTACTGCATGGTTGATATTTTTAATTATGCACGCCATCTGAAATTTCTCTCCTTCCTTCAGCAACTTTTTACTTATCTCCACAGTGATTTCTGGGGCTCTCCTGGGCACTAAAACATTGCATGAATGCATGAGTTATTTATGAGTTATTACTGCTTACATGTCTCTTTCTGCTCCATAGCAGTGAATGTACATCCCATTGGGAACTGACCAAAAGCACTTCATTTTTGAAGTTGTAAAGTGCTGCAAGTCTTCACCTTTTAGTTTATGCAATTAAATATTTATTTAACTAATGGGATTAATTATTCATTCACATTATTAAAAAATAGGCTGATTTTGCTGAAAATATGTTTACTGCCTCAAACAGAGAAATTAAATTTTAAGGTAGAAAGTCTTGGAAGTATGCAAAATCTGCAATACATTTTGCTGATTTTACTGAAATATTCACAAGAGAGCAAACTTCCTTATTTCAGCATTGTGATGGCATATGTGACAGAAATTGTGTTTCCTTCTGATAGAGATTTAGTAGAGTTGAATGAAATATTGTGTTTCATGTACGCTTTTCATTTGTGAGAAAAATACAAAGAATTCTCTCTTGTTTCTGTGAGAAAATCATATTTCATCCTTACCTCAATGCAGTGAAAGAATATTGTTTTCACACATAACTCCCAGTTCAATGGCTCAAACCTACAATCTCCCAAAGTATTGCTATTCTGAAATGTTATATCACTAATGTGTCCCAGGAATAAAAATCACAACTAAAATATCTCTTTAAAATGACAAAATTAGCTGGGCTAACTTGCTAATGAAAGCAAAATGCTACAAAAGCTAGAAAGCTGAAATAAAAACGGAAAGTGCTCCATAAATGAAGCAAGTCTGGCAGCATCTGTGGAGACAGAAACAAAGGTAACATTTCAAGTCCATTGTGACTCTTCTTTGGAAGTGAGACTAGTTCAGAATCCATTCTGCAGGTATTGTCCCACAGCAGGAGGCATGATACTGCTTCAGGGCCATGATCTTGAAGTCATCATGAAGAAATTATACAAAGAAAAATGTCAAAATGCTAAGTAGGCAAGCCTGGAACCTGTGTAACTGTGCTGTTACTGAAAGGCAGCAAACGCTGACAAAATTATTCCATGAATTTACATTGCTTTTCAAAAGATTATTCTGTGGACATCTATTTCATGCTTGAGTCATCATCTAACCTCTGGGGTCTCCATCTCCAATCTCACGAGCACCATAAAGGCCAGCTTAGAATGTCAATGGCAGAACAAAACAGCAAAAGAATAAAAATAAAAATTTGATTCTCTCCACTTAGCAACAAGAGATTAGCTGCACTGTAACAGGGAACTGTGTAAAGCTAGATAAAATAACATATGGGCTCATGTATCACTTCCCTTGCCTATTTCTGTTCTTTACTATGGCACACAGCAGTGTTATTTGTCTTCCAGTGGAAAGAGTTATTGAAAATCGAATGTTACTGATTAACAAATTCTGACGCCCAGTATTACGCACTCTGGAATACAGAAAAACTGAGGGCAACCATAGCAAGATCTCAATGGGGAAAGGCCACTGCCTAAGGCCATCCCATAATACTACAATAAGGGGCTGGTACCAGTGTAATATCAACCTGACATCTGTTGTATACACTGCTCTTCTGATTCACCTTATTTTCTCCCTCTTTTATCATCCAGGGAGCTCTACATTTCGAGACAACAAGGTGCAGGGCTGGATGAACACAGCAGCCCAAGCAGCATCATAGGAGCAGAGAGGCTGACGTTTCGGGCCTAGACCCTTCATCAGAAAAGGGGGAGGGGAAGGGGGTTCTGAAATAAATAGGGAGAGAGTGGGAGGCGGATAGAAGAGGGATAGAGAGGATAGGTGGAGAGGAAACAAACAGGTCGAAGAGGCGGGGATGGAGCCAGTAAAGGTGAGTGTAGGTAGGGAGTTAGGAAGGGGATAGGTCAGTCCAGGGAGGACGGACAGGTCAAGGGGGCGGGATGAGGTTGGTCGGTAGGAGATGGAGGTGCGGCTTGAGGTGGGAGGAGGGGATAGGTGGGAGGAAGAACAGATTAGGGAGGCAGGGACGAGCTGGACTGGTTTTGGGATGCGGTAGGGGGAGGGGAGATTTTGAAGCTTGTGAAATCCACATTGATACCATTGGGCTGCAGGGTTCCCAAGCGGAATATGAGTTGCTGTTCCTGCAACCTTCGGGTGGCATCGTTATGGCACTGCAGGAGGCCCAGGATGGACATGTCGTCTGAGGAATGGGAGGGGGAGTTGAAATGGTTGGCGACTGGGAGGTGCAGTTGTTTATTGCGAACCGAGCGTAGGTGTTCTGCAAAGCGGTCCCCGAGCCTCCGCTTGGTTTCCCCGATGTAGAGGAAGCCACACCGGGTACAGCGGATGCAGTATACCACATTGGCAGATGTGCAGGTGAACATCTGCTTGATGCGGAAAGTCTTCTTGGGGCCTGGGATGGGGATGAGGGAGGAGGTATGGGGGCAGGTGTAGCACTTCCTGCGGTTGCAGGGAAAAGTGCCAGGTGTGGTGGAGCCACAATGATGCCACCCGAAGGTTGCAGGAACAGCAACTCATATTCCGTTTGGGAACCCTGCAGCCCAATGGCATCAATGTGGATTTCACAAGTTTCAAAATCTCCCCTCCCCCTACCGCATCCCAAAACCAGTCCAGCTCGTCCCTGCCTCCCTAACCCTGTTCTTCCTCCCACCTATCCCCTCCTCCCACCTCAAGCCGCACCTCCATCTCCTACCGACCAACCTCATCCCCCCCCCTTGACCTGTCCGTCCTCCCTGGACTGACCTATCCCCTTCCTAACTCCCTACCTACACTCACCTTTACTGGCTCCATCCCCGCCTCTTCGACCTGTTTGTTTCCTCTCCACCTATCCTCTCCTCTATCCCTCTTCTATCCGCCTCCCACTCTCTCCCTATTTATTTCAGAACCCCCTTCCCCTCCCCCTTTTCTGATGAAGGGTCTAGGCCCGAAACGTCAGCCTCTCTGCTCCTATGATGCTGCTTGGGCTGCTGTGTTCATCCAGCCCTGCACCTTGTTGTCTCGGATTCTCCAGCATCTGCAGTTCCTACTAGCTCTACATTTCTCTTGCCTGGGAATGTATCTGGACTGTATCTGAATCATCTTTTCTTTAAAGTTAATGTTTTAGTCCTCTCCTGTTTAACTTGCCAAAGTTTGATTCCAATTTATTTGGGACACATCCATTCCCATGGCATTGAAATTAGCTTCACTCCAATTAAGGATTTTTACTTCATATTGTGTCTTGGTGATTAATGTCATTTGCATGGTTCTAAAGTGTTAATTACCTGGTATTATCTGCAGTTTAAATTTGTCTGATTTTCTCACAATTCCATTCTTTACAGCGGTGCACACATAATACCCTTCAAAATGTCTCTTCAGGTTAGCGATGCTTATGCCCGTGTGAATGTCGGCAGTATAGGACAGGTCTTTGGGGATGGATGCTCCGGTAACTCTCTCCAGTTTCAAGTTTTCAATCCCAGGTGTTGTAACTCGACAAGGAATGACAGCCGCACCCCCTTCTGTTCCACCAATGAACTTCTGTGTCAGTGATGGAGTTACAAACAAACTCTTGGGGTCTTGAAGAAAACATAGGTCATGTTAAGCTTGGAAAAAAAAACTATATCAATTACTTGGACAGCTAAAGCTACAATATCATCAACACTCAGTTTTCATGACGTTGGCAATGATAGCATTGAACTGTGACTGTCAAAGTAAATGTTCTTAATCACTAATGCATGAGGTACTATCATTGTTCCCAGATAAAGAACTAGAAATATTTCATAACCAGGTAAAGTGAGAAGGTTTAGAAAGATATATTAATCACAGGATTTTAGTTGCCAGGAGCTTTTATTTTATGTCATCTCCTTAAATGTAACCTGCTGTTTATTAAAATGATTTAGTTCAGCATTGTCCAAAAGGCTTATCATTCATACTTGTTTTGAATCAGCTGCATTTGATGCTCTTCACTTTAAATTCACATAATACTGAGTTGTGTTAAAGTTCCAACAGTCAGCATGAGTGTTACTCTACAGGTTGCTACTTGTCATTGATCTTGAACTGATCAAGGAAGAATCAACTCTGTTGATGCCAGACAGGAGTCAAATATAGCTCAGATCACAACTATTTTTCAGAGTATAGTTCAGCTGTCAGACTTCTAGTGACCTGGAAGCTGAAGAATCATCTGTTAAATGAAACAAGTCTGCCTTCTTTTTGCCTGGTCCCTCTGGATGCTGTTAAATGGTGATTTTTTTTTAATCTGTTGGACAACTCTGTGATAAGATCAAAGCCAGCACCCTATTGTGGTCAGCACAGAGCTGCAACAGCTCTTGATGGTATTATTGCTTGCATTCAATGCCGAGCAAGATAAAACTACAACAGTTTCTTTGCAGGGCTGAGGTGGCATCATATTTGGTAATATAAATGGGCGACCGAAAGAAATAGGCTGCTTTGGCATAAAGGAAAAGATTACAAGAGGTTGGCCATGATCAAAAGACCTGTTCAATGTCCAGATACTGGATTTTCATCACATGGAGAAGCTCTCCTTGTCAAGGCTGACAAGTCTGGAAATCATAAATACCCCAACACCCCCAAACCCACCACTTCTGATTTTCGTAGGAACGGGAATGGGGTCAAATTATGATCTATGCAGACACAGTTCATGGAGCCAGCTGGCCATTTAAATCTTCAGTTATCTCCAAAAACGTGAGATATTGGTAGCCCCAGAGTATGAAACCATATCCACCATATTATCAAAGCAATTCACAGTTTAAACAATTCTTTCAGATCTCCAGTTGCAAAGAAAAGAATCTCATTCTGCTCAATCTGAGCCTCTCAATCAGGTAATATCCTTGTAAATCTTCTCTTCATCAATATATCCTTTTTGTAATATGAAGAGCAGAATTAGAAACAGTTTTCCAATTGTATTTAAAGTAATAGTAAGTAAACCAAGCCTCCTCACATTTGTGATTCTATTCCTTTTGAAAAGAACACTTATTTATGGTTTAAAGTTTTGGCAAAGATCTGTAGCTCAGATTGTGGATGAGATTGTTGACTTGCTCGCCAAGCTGGCTTGTTCTCGTTCAGATGTTTCGTCAACATGCTAGTTGACATCATCAGTGGAGCCTCCGATGAAGCGATGTTATTCTACTCCGCTTAGAATTTACACTGTCTGGTCCGTTATGGTGAGCACTGTCACTGGTTGTGATCTGTATGGGTTGGTATATGGGGTCCAATTCTATATGTTTGTTGATTGCATTACGGATGGAGAACCATACGTAGGAATTCCCATGCGTGTCTATGTTTGGCTTGGGCTACTATGGTTACTTTGTCCCAGTTAAACTGATGGCCTTTATCGCCTGAAGGTACAGACATTAAGGAGAGTTCATCGTATCGTTTTGCTGCTCGCTGATGCTCGTGTATTCTGATGGCTAGTTTCCTTCCTGTCTGTCCGATGTAATGTTTGTGGCAATTGTTGCATGGCAAACAAGCCAGCTCAGCAAGCAAGTCAACAATCTCATTCACAACTTCTTTATGGTTTTATTAATTTGTACATGGTATTAATTGCATCTAATTTAGATCTCATTGTTCCTCACCCATTTAGCTTTTTACATTCGAAGGAATGAATTGCCTCTTCATTCATCCTACCTAACTAAAGTATGTGCACCCTGAAATCACATTTGCCATTTGTCCAAATGTGCAAACCCATCTCTTTACTTTGCAGCAGTCTTCCACATTGTTGGCTATTTTATTCCATTTAATATTATCTGAAACTTTCAACACCATACCTCCCATTTCTAGAACCTAATCATTTAGGTGTAGGGTAAACTGCTGAAAGTGGTAGTGCTATTTTTAAATTGTACATGAAATACTTGTTTTATTTTACTTATAATTCAACGATCATCCAAAGATAACAGAGCATGAGCATAACTTTCCAGGTCTATATATGTGCATGTACCTTAGTAATATGAGAAATTTGTACAATTAATAACAGTTGTGGGCTTACTTCCTACTTTTAAAATTCTTAAAGCAGGTGCAAATAACACATCTTAATACAAAATAGTGATGAATTGAAAAAAATAGTAGTTTTAACTTGTGTCTTTATAATGCTCAAATGTAAGAAGATTTCCCAGTGTACTTTATATTAAGAAGAAACAAATAAAGTTATTAGCGGCTCCAGCTCAACATTCTGCAAAGATAGAGTGAAAAGGAAATAGGCTGACTGCCATTAGAACATTAACCAACCTGTTATTACATACCCTCTGGAGTACAGGGAGTTTGAATCTAGGCCTGCTCATCTAAGGGTGGGGACACTATCACAGGACCACAGGAGCCTTCTAATTGCTTTCCTTTGAATACAATGTACATCCGGTCCAAAATGCTTTCAGTACCAACAGATTATTGCTAAGGATACATTTTCAGTCTTTGCATTTCCACATTCAACCTTACCTGTCAAATATCCATATCAGAAAATTGCATCCATTTGCACAATCTCATGCATAGTCATACTTACAGAGGTTTATAAAATCATGAGGGGCATGGATAGGATGAAAGGACAAGGTCTTTTCCCCATGGTGAGGGAGTCCAAAACTAGAAGGCATAGGTTTAAGGTGAGAGGGGAAAGATTTAAAAGAGACCTAAGGGGCAATTTTTTTCATGCAGAGGGAGATGTATGTATGGAATGAGCTGCCAGAAGAAGTGGTGGAGGCTGGTACAATTACAACTTTTAAAAGGCATCTAGATGGGTATATGAATAGGAAGGGTTTAGAGGGATATGGACCAAATGCTGGAAAATGGGACTAGATTTATTGAGGATATCTGGTCAGCATGGATGAGTTGGACTGAAGAGTCTGTGTCTTCGTTGTATATCTCTATGACTCGATGACTCTAATTACTGGAACTTAAGGGCAGCATTCATAACTTTGTGCCAAGCCACACCTCCGTCCATAAACACAAGCAACTTTCAAGCATCCAGTGTTGGCTTTTGCCTTGAAGATAGCAGAACTGCAGATTTCTATTCACAAATGCATGTCCATATATATAAGAAGGTAATATAACCCCAGTAAACCTCTAAAAAAACGTACCTTGCATTGTTTATTCTATGTGAAAGGCATTATTGTAATGTAAATTGTTGCAGCGGGCCAATTGATTGAAGATTGTTATTCCGAAAGAGCATATAGTACCCACCTACAGCCTGGCATTTCTTCAATGATCCTTTTCTTTCCAGCAGTTCAAAATGTGGAGATTTCTATTTGGACACCAATTTATGCCAGTGTTGCTAATTTTTGTTTTACAAATAAGCTCATAAGAAGTTAATTGCCAGTCACAATTCTAATCAGTTTGGGCATTAAGTGCCTTCCTCTAAATGCTTACAATAAAGCATCACTGCAAACTAAAGGGGATGATGTCCTAGAGTTGCAGTGGGTGCAACATTCCCTGTAATCATCCCATGCAGCATTTAGCTAGGTACTAGGGGTGCTACTCCCTCACTTCTGGTAAAGTCCTGCCTGCATTTTCAATTTGCTTTAGACTCATTTCAGTCCATTACTTCTTGATTATCTGCCAGTGAGCATTTGCAAAAGCCACTGAAGGCTTGAGATGAATTTTGAGCTTTTCTAAAAACTTTTAAGAACGTTTTTGAAACTGTTATCACAATGTCCTTGAATTACCTGCAAACTCTTAAATTTCACTTACCTGCAGTTTTACATTCCATTTACCTTGCCAAATCAGCAACTGGATTTGTAGATAATTATACAAATAGTCCACTCTTGAAATTTGAGTTCTATTAAAATAATATCATTCTGGTGAGATTACTACGATTTTTCCTCACCAGCAGATAAAAATAAACTCATTAAATCTGAGGTATGTAGTTGGTTACATTTCAAAATCACTTGATGAAAGATTGTTATTAATATGACTTAGTTACCTTCCACGAATATGTAAAGGGAGCTGTTTGTAAAAGAAATGCGATTTTGGCATATATATCGGCCTGTATGCTTTGGTTGTGCTGATTCGATAATGACCCTGTTTTGATTGATGCTTCTTTTTGCACTTGATGGAATTATCCATCTTATGCTTGAGTGGTCTGTACATTGAAGTTCGATGCGATCGCCCTTTCTCTTAATCAACGTGCCATTCTTTGGTTGAATCACAGGGATAGATAAACCTGCACAAGAAGAAAAAAAAATGTTGCTATATATAAAGCAGTGACCTAATATTCTACAAATGTTGTAATTCTGATTGTTTTTTAACATCACAGGTAGTCAAAGTGATATGGTGTAGACAGATTCCTGAAGTAAACAATTTCCACGCCAACCTTTCTCTGGGTCTCATCAGTGTTATCTCGAAAGAGGTTTCTTCATTTACTCAGAAATGTATAGTTCAGAACTAACATCAAGTGGTCATGACAGACAAATGATTTTGCCTTTCACAAGATATTTAGGCTTATATTTAACTTACACTTTGTGACAGCTGTCTTGTCACAACATGTTTCATCAAACATTATAACGCTGTTGAGGATTAGTAGTAAAGGGTGGTAAAAGGAGGAATAGGACTACAAACCAAAAACGGAATTTATGCATGGATTCAGAGGACATAGCTGAGGCACTAAATAAATACTTTGCATCTGTCTGTCCCAAAGATGAAGATGCTGCCTAGGCCTTGGGAAAAAAAAAATTGTTCAGACACTCAAAGGAGCGAAAACTGGGAAAAAGAGGGATTAGATGAGTTGTCTGTACTTAAAGTGAACATGATGAACCAGACATGACACATTTAAGGATACTGAGAAAAGTGAGAATGGAAATTGCAGAAGCACTGGTCATAATTTTTCTCTCTTCCTCAGATGCAGAGGCCGTGTCAGTCAGTTTAACTGCAGAGATGGAGTCACTTATATGATCGATAATTCAGCATAAAATTAATCGTCGCATGGACAAATAAGGATTAATTAAAGAGAGCCAACATGGATTTCTTAAGGGAAAATGATGTTTAAATAATTTGCTAGTGTATTTTGAAGAGGTAATGATGAAGTTTAATGAGGGCAGTGCTGTTATTTGTTGTACATGGACTTCCAAAAGGCTTTTAAAACAGTGCTGCACACAGATTTGTGAGAATTAAAAGGGCAAAAGCAACATGGACATGCAATTGGCTGAGTGACAGGAAACAAACAGCAATGGTTCATGGATGTTTTTGGGGGGTAGATCAATGTTTATCAACCTTGGTTGACTGTGCATGTCCAAGCCTCAAGAGCTGCGCTTGTTTGAATTCTGTGCCTGCTATTTTTCCTGATATTGTCATGTTGTAGATTGTGGTGTACAGGACACAACTTCAATGTTTGCAGATGATACAAAACATGAGGTATTGTGAACAATGAGAAGAATACTGCAAAACTTTTGAATCATAGAATCCCTACAGTTTGGAAGCAGACCATTCAGCCCATTGAGTCCCCACTGACCCTCCAAAGAACATCCAAACCAGACCCACCCTGCATTTCCTATGGCTAATCAACCTAGACTGCACACTATGGGCAATTTAGCATGGTATATCTACCTAACTTTCACATCTTTGGGCTGTGGAAGGAAACAAGAGTACCCAGAGGAAACCCATGCAGACATGGGGAGAATGTGCAAACTCTGCACAGACAGTCACTGAGCATGGAAATGAACCCAAGTTCTTGGTGCTATGAGACAGCAGACCTAAGCCACCATGTCACCCAACTTCCAAAGGATATAGACAAGTTGGTGGAATAGGCTATTCAGAAACAAACAAGGTTCAATGCAGAGGAGTGTGAGTTGATGCATTTTGGTAGGAAGTACATGAAGACAATATAAAACATACTGCTCTAAAGGGAGTGAAGGAGTAGAGGACCTGGGTGTACATGTCCATTAAATGTGTCAGAAATGACAATTAATAAAGAATGGAGTACCCTAGGCTTTAATAACTGCACAACGGAGTACAAAAACAGGGACAACTTGTTGCACTTGCATTGGACATTAGTTCAGTCTCAGCTGAAGTACTACATCAGGTTCTGGGCACTGGAGTTTAGGAAGCATGTGAAAGATTTAGAGACAGTGCATAAAATAATCATCACAATCGTCCAGGGATGGGGGACTTCACTAATGAAGATACATTGGAGAAGTTAGGATTTCTGCACTTTGAGAACAAAAGGCTAAGGGAGGTATTGGAGGTATTTAAGGTCTGACCAGATTAAATAGAGAGAAACAATTCCCCCTGAGATAAAGGATCAAGAACAAGGGCACAAATTTAAAATAATTAGTGAAAGAAGCAAAAGTGTTATGAAGGTAAACTTCACACAGTGAGTTTTGAAGTCTGGAATGCACTATCTGGAGTTTGCAGTGAAGGCAGATTCAATTGAAGCATTCAAAAGGAAATTAGATTCTTATTTGAAAAGGAAGACTGTGTAAGACAATGCGCAGATGCCTACAGTATGGTATGAACCGAATCGCTCATTCAGTGGGTTGGTGCAGGCACATTGAGCTGAATGCCCTCCTTCTGTGCTGACACAATTCTGTGATTCAGTTGCCTTTACTGTTAGATTATTTAAAATAATATACAACCCATTACAAACATCTTATACACAGCAAACTCCAAACCATTTACAATGACCCGAACATTTCCACTGACATTTTTAGTAGTAACACTAGTACATACAGCTCAAGTTCAGCAACATTCTAATCTGTTTGCTGTGAAAAAATAGAGTTGATTTTAAAACCGGACTGGAATCTGTGCTGTGGGGATAAAATTGGTGTGTTACTCTCCAGTAAGGTTGTAACACCTACCCTTGATTTGCATGCCCCAAACCATGAGTCTTGCCCAAACCTGGAGGAAATAACTGCTGGCAATACAATCAAAATTGAGTTGCGCTTTCACCAGGTTGAAAAATTGCCCTGGAAGCAAGGGAGCAGTTTGGCAAGTGTGCAGTTGAGGAAGATGGAGTGGGCGAATAAGGATGATAGAGTCAAGGTCACTTAACAAGTTCCTGCAATTCTGCTAAGTCACCAATTTATAGTTTTTTTTTATTCATTCATAGGATGAGGGCATCGCTGGCTAGGCCAGCATTTATTGCCCATCCCTAATTGCCCAGAGGGCAGTTAAAAGTCAACCACATTGCTATGGATCTGGAGTCACATATAGACCAGACCAGGTAAGGATGGCAGATTTCCTTCCCTAAAGGACTTTACTGATGCTGATTTCATGGTCATCATTAGACTTTTAATTCCAGGTTTTGTTTTATTTTATTGAATTCAATTTCCACCAGCTGCCATGGTAGGATTTGAGCCCAGGTCTCCAAACATTCCCTCTATTTAATCCTGCTCTGAAGTAGTTATTTGGAGAGATTATATGTTTACATTTATGTTTTGAATCCTAAATTTTCTGTTTAAATTATAGTATACTGTATGCTATTCAAATGTTATAAACTATGTTCAGTGCAACCCAGGTCACATTATAGCCAAAAACCTGAACAAATATGCACTCAACAAATGTTGAAACAAATTAAATGATGGAGCAGGATTCTGGTGTTAGGAGGAAGACAACATATTCAGTTTTGCACATAGTTCTTGAGGGGGCCACTAACCATGTGCAAATCTATGCTGTGAACTGCCTCACCTCTATGTAAAGTAGTATCATTTGAAGGATAATGCACAACCAATGCACTTTTGAATTCAATCTGTCAGCACACTTAAGCTACATAGCACATTTTTTTGAAGTTGGAGATCACAGAAAGATACACTAAGAGATGCTGGTCTATCCATGCTGAACAGATCCTTTGGTTAACAATTTGGCAATTTCACGGTGGAGTCAGCAACTGGTGATGTAGAGGACAAGTCTGGTCCTGTTAGAATCATCCACCCAGTATTTCTTTAGTTTCAGGGCTTTGTTATTTGACACAGCGAAGGCACCATGATGGAAATTCTGGGAAAAATCCACTGCCATCAAAAATGCTGTTTCTGTGATTAGCCACTAGAAATAAAGGGAACTAGTGCAATTTTTTTGCATTGGAATTTATGCAAGGTGTGCCCACTTTCCCAATTAGATTTGGCAGAATGTCAGTGGAAACTCCAGAGAAGTAATATAGAAACAACATAACCCCTGGTTTGCAGCAATTCTTCAGGGTTTCTGACAAGCATTCCTCAATGTTAAAGCCAACACTTAGAAGAACAACCAGGGAAATTTCAGGCATTTCTGTTCATGTAAAGAAAAATCCCGCATTTATATCAAGCTTTTCATCCCAGCATGCTTCCTGATGAAATGTCTTTGGAGTCTAGTCATTGCTGCAATGTAGGAATGTCAGCTAATTTGTACACAAGGTTCCACATACCATTATGAGATAAATGACCAGATCATCTATTCAAGAGAATGAGGCACTCCCCCCACTTTGCTTTACTTCAAATAATCTAATTTGTCTTTTAATACACATCTGAAAGTATAAACAACAAACCTCAATTTAATGTCTCATTCGAAAGACCACCAAAATAGTAACCTTTGTTCCTACATCTTGCACTCAATTCCTGGAAATGGCCTTGAAAGCATAACCTACTGACAGCAACTAAAGAGCTACTTCTGAACGTAAATTGATACCTGGGCCATTGCATTGGTCTGAAGAGACCTAATGGTGTCATATTCTTAACTCAAGAGAACATCCAGTGAAACATTGAATTCTATCCAACAAATGCATCCTTTCCATGGTAAAAGTGATGAAGACACTGTCCCTTATAAACATAAGAGTTTGGCAATTGCTTCGTACAGGCGTGTGCTACACATTATCTGATGTAGAAGGTATTGCATGATTGAAGTTGGAAGAATACAACAACATGTAATCTTTATACCATGAAATCTTTATACCATGACAGCTTTTCTTTCTTTTAGAAGAATTGGACTTTATCCAAATTTAGTCTGAAATACATTCTCTGTCGGATGATACAATTCTGTGGCAGTTGTTGTTAAGCAGAAGCAACTAAGAATGCTTATAATACAGAATGGTCTGAATAACTCAATAATATTTGGTACTTTGTGAACTTTCTTTGAAACCAAAATCTTGAGGTCAATTCTCAGAAGGACTACCCATCACTTTGTATGGTGACTTTACCACCAGCAACACTCCAAATTAAAGAAATCATTGGCAGAAAGAAGATTGATGTCAAGCAAGAG